TGTGTTTGTTAAATTATCTCTATCCTAAACTCGTTACTATAGCAACGTACTTGCATATTTAGTTTTGCTGTATTTCATGTGTTTTACCAGTTTTAGCCAGTTTTAGAGAGAAAAAAAACTGTATTAAATAAAGTTCTGGGTGTGGAACTTTGTTATTATGGACATTTATGGTACTGCATCCACCCACCTGCTCTGGTTTAGTCCTGGTTCAGTTTCTTGTTCGGTCTCAGGTTCAGCCTCTGCTTCAGTCCTGCTTTTGTCCTGGTTCATTCTCTGGTTCTGTCCTGGTTCCGTCTCCGGTTCAGTCCTGGTTCCATCTCTGGTTCTGTCCTGCTTTAGTTCTGGTTCAGTCTGGGCTCAGTCCTGATTTAGCCCTGGTTCAGTCTCTTGCTCAGTCCCGCTTCAGTCCTAGTTCAGTTCTGGATTAGTCTAAGCTTGTATAAAACCTCCTTTAGTCCTGATCCAAGTCCAGTCCTTCTCTGACGAAGTGATGCAACCATAAATCTGGGAACGCATTATTTGCGACTCGTTTGAAATGTAAATCTACTCCAATCTCTTTCAAACCCTCTGGAACATCATTTGTATTCACACACACAGATGTTTGTCCACGAGAGCCACCGTAGAACTACTTTACCACACAACAAAACCACAGCCAATCAGATCGCAGCCCAAGGTTCTGTCTTTGTGCACGTGTTTGTGTCTGCGTGTGTGCGCATGTTTTTGTCTGTCTTTGTGCGTGTGTGTCTGTCTGTCTGACGGTGCGTGTATTTGTGTGTCTGTCTGTGTGTGTGCCTGTGCATATAGTGTATGTGTGTGTGTGTCTGTCTGTCTATCTGTGTGTGTCTGTGTATGTTTGTGTTTACGTGTGTCTGTGTGCATATGCATGTGTGAGTTGTGTGTGTGTGTGTGTGCACGTGTTTGTGTGTCTGTCTGCGTGAATGTGTGTGTGTGTGTGTGTCTGTCTGCGTGCATGTTTGTGTGTGTCTGTGTGTGGGCGTGTGTGTAGCTGGCAGACAGAAAAAGCAGTGCGTTCCCTAATTATAAATGATGCAGAAACACAACTTGCAATTCACTGGTTTTGAAAGATCCTCATTGGCTCCAGTTCAAGACCGGACTGAACTTCTTTATTTATTTATATACCGCCTTTCACAGACCAGAGTCACAAAGTGGTTTAGGACCCAGTCTCAGTTTCTTGGAATTCAATGTTCTTGTTGTCGCTCATGTAAAACTGAAAGTAGGAGAGGCTGCTTTTGGATTTCACCTGCTGTGCTCCTTGTAACTGGACTGTTTCTTATGTTGTGTTTTCAGTTGGTTCCAGTTGTGTGTGACATTTGGTATATAGATAACATTTTGCTTCCCAAACATAACTTGGAGTAATCCGCAACAAATTCAGGTTTTCTTTCCCATGTTTTTGACCCTGGGAAGCTACACCTTGATCTCGGTCTGAACACGAACAGTAAACACACGACAGACTGATGTACAGACAGACAGACAAAGAGAGACAGAGAGATATATAGTTAGACAGACAGACAGACAGAGAGAGAGAGAGAGACAGACAGACAGACAGAGAGAGGGACAGATAGACAGACAGAGACGGACAGACAGATCTATGGATAGATAGATAGAGATAGATAGATAGACCAACATGGCGCCGAAAAAATGGCGCCGTGGCAAGAGCTCTGGTAGTCAATGTGGTTTTACTGCAAATGGAGAATAAATTCTTAAATCTTGACTCTTGATAGTAGGATAGATAGATACAGTACAGTAGATAGATTTATAGATAGATATAGATAGATACAGATAGATAGACACTATTAATCCATCCATACAAACATTTAAAAAGGAGAGCTTGTGGCTGAAGTTGAGCCGATCCAATCACAACAGTCTCTCTGCGCTACACACCAGGGACAGAAGTCGTGTCCAAAGCTAATGATGACGTGACGACGCCTCTCATTTCGCTGAATTAGCCTTGTACCTGTCTCCATATTTTATGACAACAACTTCAATTTCTGACTCATGTATTTGACCCATGGCTGCGTGCCCAGACCGAGTTCTCCGCCTAAAACAGATTTTCTCGACAGTTTCCCTGGCTCAGACACACAGACACACACACACACACACACACACACATTTCGACTCCCATCCAAGTAGTCAATTTCCAATTTAAAGGAGATTTTGAATTTAGGCCGTGGTGTGGTCCTTCCCTGGGCTATAGACGGAGGAGTCGGACTGACGTAGGCTGACCATCAGTCTTAAGTTTCACTAGTTTCATTGGAGGTTTATACACTCCTTCATTCAACCCCTTTTCCAAACATTTATGTAATAATATTGATGTCAAATGTCCCAAAAAAGTGTATTATTATTATCATTGCAGACAACGACATATTTTTTCTGCTTTCAATTACTTTTTCTCTTCTGAATTAGATTAAAGAAGCAGTATGTCAAAATCTGGCCAAAAGTCCTCTCTCACTCTCCCTGACTCAAGTTGCCAGACAGCTGCGGGACAATAATAATAAAAACTGAAGAGTTTTGTCAACAACAAATCTATAACCAACACCTTTTTCACAAAGATAAAAATCCTGGTTTTATTCCTTGTTTCGTTATTAATGATTTAAGAATCATAACGAAACCTCTTTTATTCCTGCGGCCATATACTTTACCAGTGAGATTAGCTCGACGCTGTGAGTTCTGGCAACCCGGATCACGGACTTTCTGATTGGTGAAACAGTGGAGGGCAGGACTTCGAAATGTAAACAATAACAAGATTTAGGGACTATAAAACAAATTTTGAAATCAATATATATCGGATAAACTAAGTATTTGAAAAGAGCATGTTTTATTAATGCCTTTTAACAGATTGGGGCCCTTTAATGATGACTTGACATGAAAATCTGACATATTGATACTTTAAACATCGATATATAGAAACACACAAGCAGTTCCCTCGAGCGTAATTAAATAATCTCTGGTGTATATTTCTTTCAAAAGATTGGCTTTTAGTGATCGATGGCCGCTGCTCTTTTTGACACAACAAAACGGCTACAAACAGTGACGACAGCTTCCCAATATCTGACACAAAACCACGAGAAAGATGGTTCGATAAGGTCCTTGTGATGGAAAGGCCTGAGATCCATCCGCACACAACAATAACGCTGGGATGTGTTTTTTACGAGACGCTGTTGAATCATGAAGCGATTACATAATTTGTCAGTGTGGCACGAGAAGAAGAAGAAAAAGACGGAGAAAGACAATGTGTGCGGGAGTCTAAAAGCAGCTCATCCAGACAGAGACCAGGGGAATTACCACACACACACATCCAGATCCACAGCTCACAAGTCTCTTTAAGTTTTATGTAGACAGACTAAAGCTGCGTTAGGGATAGGGGCATATACAGGAGGAAGCGGGCGCCAGGTTGGTAATCGCCTCCAGGTGTATTGTCTGGCGTTAACACCGTCTCTCTGATTAAAACAGACCGCGGAGAATGTGTGAAAGTGAGAAGAAATGATACAGTTTTCTCTTTGTCTTTCCTAACACGATTTGGCGTGAACTGAAATTAGCCGTGGAGGGGGTCAAACGGCTGATCGACAAACACACAGCCGGACCGGGAAGTACAGAGTATGTGCAAGGCTAATAACATGTGGAATATGAATAGATAGATATATACTCACTGGCGACTTTATTAGGTACAGTACACCTGGATAGTACCGGTAGCATAGTTGGACCCCCTTTTGCCTTCAAAACTGTCTTAATCCTTTGTGGCATAGATTCAACAAGGTACTGGACACATCCCTCAGTTTGGTCCATATTTATAGCAACATTTGCAGTTTCTGTAGATTTGTCAGATCCACGTCTACGATGCTCCTGTTCCATCACACCCTAAAGTAGCTCCGTTGGATTGAGATCTATGACTAGCTTAGAGCTGTCCCACCCATGACCACAGGGGGCGCCTGTGGTACTGCAGACTAAATTCACGTGGGCCACCAAGAAAAAAGTCTCACAGAACTCATAGAATATAAATTAAAACATTTTGACCATAGCTGACAGAGAACCTACAACTTTCATAAAGATCAGCTTTTGTGGGGGTTTTAGTGTCCCTTGTCATCCTGAACTTTTTTTATTCTTAAATCCTACGGTTTTCTTTAAATCCACACTTTACTGCCACAAACTCTGCTGTTTTCCTTCCCGTTCTAGCTCCGCTCTAGCTCTGCTCTGATCAGTAGCAGAGCGCGGCCGAGCACCTCTGAGCACGAGCATGAGAGCCACACACGCATATTTGGCGCAAAGCATCATGGGAGCTCGTCCACTGCGCAGAACCGGGAGGACCAGACGATGCCCAAATATAGGCGAGTTCCGCTAAGCATTCGGTTCTCCTACTGAGCACAAGCCATTCATTTAAACAGGGCGCCATCTTGGATCACCGGGGCCTGGTTCAGAGAGGCTCTTGCAGACCTTGGTTATGTCACTGTTGCCTTTCAATCAGCTCAAACCAGTCTGGGCCATTCACCTCTGACCTCTGACGTCTTGGAGGACTTGGAAGCCATTGTTTCATGGAGAGCAGGATGACCACTGTCCATACATGTTAATAAATACTTGCATTTGAAAGCCAGATCCGTGGCACCTCAGAAGCAAAGCAGGGCAGAGGCTGGTTAATACTCTGATGGGAGACCTCTGGGAAGTGCCAAACTGCAGGACGCTTCACCCACATTGCCTAGAATGAGTCTGGTATGTATGCGAAGGCTTTGTGGTTGGAGGGGCTGAAGTCACATACTGGTTGCTTGGCTTCTGTCAGTGTGCCCCAGGGCAGCTGTGACTTGTAGCAGTCGTAGATTCTGACCACTGTTAAAAGAGTGAATGAATAATGACATGTGAAGCGTCTTTGAGTGTATAAAACCGTAGCATTGTTGTTATTATAACTTAAATGTCCTCTCTCCACTCTTTCTCGCTCGTCCTGACTTTCCTCTTGTGTTGTGTGTTTTGTGTGTTGTGCGTTCAGGGTGAAGATGCCGTTCCACCACGTGCGGGCGGGCCTGCTCTATCCAGACAACTACCTGAGCACCTCCCTGGCCGAGGGCAACGAGTCCTTCCAGCTCACCAGCATCTCCACAGAGGAACTGGGAGGTGAGGCTCAGGGATGTGCTGGTCCTGTGTCCAGGCATCGGAGTGTGTGTTGAGGGATTTAGGGGCGTTTGTGTTAAAGTGTGTATCGATGTGTGTGTTGGTGACGCCTGTGGGGAGGTTCGAAGCCTCGTGAAGCGGCTGCGTGGTTGTTTTACTGAGGTGTGTTAGAGAGTGTGTTGTTTAGACGGATTGGTTTGTGTGTGTGCTTCCATGGACGGACGGGCTGTAGATCCAGGACTGAGGCTGTAGCTCTCTCTCTCGCTCCTCTCTCTCGCTCCTCTCTCTCGCTCCTCTCTCTCGCTCCTCTCTCTCGCTTCTCTCTCTCTTTCTTCTCTCTCGCTCTTCTATCTCCCTCCTCTCTCTCACTCCTCTCTCTTGCCCCTCTCTCTCGCTTCTCTATCTCCCTCCTCTCTCTCGCTCCTCTCTCTTGCTCCTCAATCTCGCACCTCTCTCTCTCTCTCTCTCCCTCCTCTCTCTCACTCCTCTCTCTTGCCCCTCTCTCTCGCTTCTCTATCTCCCTCCTCTCTCTCGCTCCTCTCTCTCGCGTCTCTATCTCCCTCCTCTCTCTTGCTCCTCAATCTCGCATCTCCCTCCTTTCTCTTGCTCCTTTCTCTTGCTCCTCTCTCTTGCTCCTCAATCTCGCACCTCTCTCTCTCTCTCTCTCTCTCCTCTCTCTCTCTCCTCTCTCTCTCTCTCTCTCTCGCTTCTCTATCTCCCTCCTCTCTCTCGCTCCTCTCTCTCGCGTCTCTATCTCCCTCCCTCTCTCTCGCTCCTCTCTCTGCGCTGTCTCTATCTCCCTCCTCTCTCTTGCTCCTCAATCTCCGATCTCCCTCCTTTTCTCTTGCTCCTCTCTCTTGCTCCTCAATCTCGCACCTCTCCTCTCTCTCTCATCTCTCTCTCTCTCTCTCTCTCTCTCTCTCTCTCTCTCTCTCTCTCTCTCTCTCTCTCTCTCTCTCCTCTCTCTCTCTCCTCTCTCTCTCTCTCTCCTCTCTCTCTCTCTCCTCTCTCTCTCTCACGCTCTCGCTCTCTCTCTCTCTCTCTCTCTCTCTCTCTCCTCTCTCTCTCTCTCTCTCTCTCTCTCTCTCTCTCTCTCTCTCTCTCTCTCTCTCTCTCTCTCTCTCTCTCTCTCTCTCTCTCTCTCTCTCCTCTCTCTCTCTCTCTCTCTCTCTCTCTCTCTCTCTCTCTCTCTCTCTCTCTCTCTCTCTCTCTCTCTCTCTCTCTCTGGAGTTGGTGCCAATTATTGTTTCGTTGCTGGAACAATGCCGTTACAATCGGCCAGTCCTCGTGGGGAGAGTTTTTTCCATTCAGCCGCTCTCTCTCCGGTCGATGCTTGACTGCGTTTCTTTCCCCATTATGTTTCAAATAACAGCTCGACTTTGAAGGTTTGAAGTGTATAATATTCACGGCTGGAGTAGATCAACTTTGTGATTAAAGTGAAGGCAGACAGTTGATGCACATGGCAACTCAAAGACCCGAAAAAACAAGATAGTAACAATACAGAGAATTAAAATCATAAAAAATACTGAAACCAAGGCTCAGTATACATGTTCGGAAACTCTGAAAAGAATGAAATCACAAAAGTTAGCGTTGGAATTCTCACTGACCCTTGGTATGAATAAAAATAGCTTACACTGCAAAAAAAATATAAAATATGAGGTATTTAATCATGCATTTTAATTCTTAATTCTTAAAACAAGATTCTCCAACGGGACAAACCCATTTAGTCTTATTTCAAGAACTGTTGCTTTATTTTCTCATTCCGAGGGAGACATTTCTTGTATCTTTTTAAAATAACATTATTTTGCTCATTGTGTCATTGGAAAATCTTGTTTTCAGGCAGCCAAAATGTGCTTTAATGAAGGTTAAATCTGCCAAATTTGAGCAATTTTGGACTTAGATGTCATCATGCAGTGTACTTGTATGTCTTGGGGCACTCACTGAAGAGATAATTTTTTCATCCAACACTAGGGAATTTTCAGTGTTGCATTACATGTTACAGAACAGTAGAAATGAGGAGGACGCAAACACAAAACCAGATGAGTGAATGTTATGTGTAAGTTTTTTTAATTCATATTTTTTAATTGTGCCTTGATTTGGGACAAGGATGTTAGCCTACACATCTCTCTGGATTGTAGCCTCACAATAATTTTCATCGTCCTCTACCACAAAAAACGATTGACCATTTTTTTATGGTAGGGGAAACCGGAGCACCAGGAGGAAACCTTTTTAGACATAGGGATAGCATGCAAACTCCACACAGAATGGCGCGTTTGGATGTGGACTCGAACCCAGGACCTTCTTGATGTGAAGAACAAGTACTATGCTAGCTCTGTGCTTAAAAACTAAACCTTAATCTTTGAAAGCGGCTGGTTTAAAGTGCTGTATTTTTAGCACATGTGATTGAGCAGCTCAGGAGCAATCAGCGAAAGTCCGAAAAATAAGAAAAACTTTTCTCATCAACACTGAGCATTGATTGACCGAGTGGGACATCACCATAGTGTTAGCATTAATGCAGAAGAGGCCACATTGAACATTAGCCAGCTAGAGCCAATTTACTCATAGAAATAGGGGCAGAGGTGTTGCTAAGACGGTTGCTAAGGCAAGCTGAAGTTTCCCCTGCAATTGAAGGCATCTGATTGGTCACACTCAGACCAGACTCAGGTTCTAACATGGCTCATATTCATCAGTAAATAAACACTTGGATCACAGCGAGTCCTAAATGATGAGCGTGGCACGAACGTTTACTGAGCTGGAGGAGTTTACGTTTCAATGTTAGTCGATAGGATCCAGAGACTTTGTCCATGAGCACTTCCCCTATTCCCTCTTTTGAATGCGCTGGAAAACGGCTGCAAGTCCTAAGTGGCTCTGAAACAGTTGTTGTTTTGTGTTTTACAGCAGTTATTATTCTTGCTTTTTTCCACCTAAGATGTTGCTGCAGTACAGAGTTCATGGGTTTGCACTGGTCCAGACCAGAGCAAAGAGGATTCATGGTCCGAACCAAGTGGATCAGGTGAAAATCCACTGGAGGAATGCTAACTTTTTGAAAAATGCTAATGAAGCATTCAGCTTTTTCAGAATCAGAATCAGAATAATTTTTATTGCCACGTAAGTAACAGGAAGTCACAGACTTGGAAATTGCTTTGGCTCAGTGCAACAGTCAGAGAGATAATAAGAATAAAGAATAAAAAACACTTCTAAGGAATACATTTAAATTTAAAATAGAGTTACAGTTACTATTTACAATATACAAGTGCACATGGTGCACACAATGTAAGGTGACAGCAGTACAGTGAAGTAAAGTGACGTATGATGGGCAGTAAAGTGACTTAGGGCGGGGGGACAGGTTAAGAAGTGTTCAAGAGTCCAACAGCAGAGGGGAAGAAACTGTTCTTGTGGCGGGAGGTTCTAGTCCTGATGGACCGCAGCCTCCTGCCGGAAGGACTCCACAGAGGTACGACCAGCCCGGCCTCGAGCTCGGGCGAATTACAGGTCCTGCAGCGATGGAAGGCTGCGGCCGCATCACTTCCTCTGCAGAGCGCACAATGCGCTGTAGTCTCTGTTTGTCCCTGACTGTTGGCTGTGCAGGCAGCTTGGCTTTCCTGAGCTGCCGCAGGGGGAGTCACTTGAGGTCCTGGGTGATGGTGGTGCCCAGGAAACGGAAGGACTCACAGAGGTGTGGGGGAGTCCATCACGGTAGGGTGGGGGCGGGGGGACAGTGCTCTTCCTGAAGTCCACAATCATCTCCACTGTCTTCTGGGCGTTCAGCTCCAGGTTGTTACCACTGCACCAGGACACCAGCCGGTCCACCTCCCTCCTGTAGGCGGACTCATCGTTGTTGGAGAGGAGTCCAATGAGGGTGGTGTCGTCCGTGAACTTGATCAGCTTCACGGAGTCGTGGCTGGAGGTGCAGTGGTTGGTGTACAGGGAGAAGAGCAGGGGAGAAAGAACACCGCCCTGTGGGGCTCCTGTATTTATAATCCGAGAGTCCGAGACATTCTTCCCCAGACGCACTCGCTGCTTCGTGTCTGTCAGGAAGTCAGTGAGTTCCTTGGAACCAGAGCAGAAAAAAACGTCTAAAACAAGTGGCTCCACCTCTGCTAGATTGAATTACTGAATTTTACTTCAGGAGCTAAACTGCGTGTGCAAAGTAAAATTGTGTGTACAATTGTTTCATTTTATATCAACATGTTTATAGATTTGTTTACTCCAGTGTTCATATATCTTGCACACACACACACACACACACACACACACACACAACCCAGCATCAACCTGACGCTGCCCTTTGCTGATTTGAGTTTAAGACCATTTGGAAACAGCCTGTGCTTTCGGACACACGGGGATTTGCAAGACTAGTTATTCTTATCTGTGTTTAGCTTGTTTCTAGTGGCAGCTTCTCTCTTGAGTTCAAACATGTGGCTCATTGTCCTCCGCCCCAGAGCACTTTCCTATGCAGTACTTTGTAGCATAAATCTTTTAATCCAGCGTCCCTCATGCACAGCTCGCCTCACGGTTCGAGCAGTGAGCGGTAGAAATGTCTCCTTTAACGCATCAGTCCACGCCGTTTGCTTTTGAAGGACGCAGAAATAATGGTTCGGAAGTAGTTGCATAAGATGTAATTATGACGCATTTAACTTGTGGCAAAACAACAAACTGCAAAGGTCTGTTTAAAAGCTTCTGCCACGACCGGAAATGTGAAAATGGCAACGTTGGTGTTTGTGCCAAAAGCTAAAAGCCAAATGGACTTTGGGGAAAAAACGTCTGTGATTTTACAGACATAAAAACAGCAGAAGATTCAGCTGTTTGGAGGATTTGAGAAAGAGGGAAGATCTAAGAGGCAAATGTTGAGTCAAAGCGGTGTGACTTGTGATTACTTAATAGCTATAAATTGTAAAACTGTGCCAAAATCCAGCCGGACTATCTGTCTTTTAAAGGAAACAAAATACACAGAGACAACAATATTCAACAAGGACACAAATACTAGGACACAAAACAAAAAC